CTCGACGTTTACAATTAAAATAATAAATACTTAATCGCTATATAAAATTCTGAAGCAATATTGAGATTCAACTATTTACAATTTTACTAAAATTAACTATTAACCTCCTTGATTGATGGCAAAAATGACATTTATCGAGTTTTTACAGTTAACCAGTTAAATAAGAAGTTCAAAAAACAATTTTATGGATGAAGATATGATGGAATGAAGGTGCCGGGATGGGAGGTCACGGGAGGTTTTTGTGACCCCCCAAAGATTTTCATTATTTTGCTTATTTACAAAAATTCATTTCATCTCCTTTTATTTAAAAAAAATGAAATTATAAGCATTACTTAATATTTTTAATTTATTTGGTGTAGTTAAATAATAAATCTCAGAGGATTGGTGAGCAATAAAAGGATGCCGGTCGTTGGTGCGCAAACAAATGAATTTCGTTGGTGCGGAATTGAACTATCAAAAATATTAAGGTATAAAAATTGAAGTAATAAAGAAAGCAAACAGAAAAGTATTCTTTTATTCGATTCGAGGGATATTGCAAATGTACGTCGTCATCTTTGCTGCAGATTAATTTTTCTCTTTTTATTCAATATTCATATATTAAATGATTGGTTATTTATTTTATTTATTGCATAGAATAAAAGTAAAACATTCCATAGTGGGCCAGGGGTTCATGAAGGTAAAGGTTCCACAATTTCGTGATCAATAGTCTGAAATGAGGCAATGTAGCCAGCATTGTTCACGGGCTGCATTACTTCCCAGACAAGGCGGATGGGCTAAATCGTTACTGTGGTTCGGACCTCAGTTCTCCACAACAGTTCAATGCCTTAAAAACTGACCAATCATGACTCATTGTTGTTGTTGTCGTTGTTAAGCCAAGGGGTTTGATTGCTTTTGTTTTCTAGTGGCACCATTTATGGCCAAGAATTCTACTTATGCCACACCCGTTAATAGGGCGGGCCCATTCCTGCATCCATTCATTCACAGATCGTAATTATGACCTAAGCCAGAGAATAATCAATCTCCAATTAAGTGCCCCCAGAGGTATAATTTGTTATGGGAACATGGAGGACTCCGTGACCCGATAGATTTAACGTGTACCGATCACCAATTACTACACGGGGAGTCTTCGGCCGGCTGCATTTGAACTCCCTTTCTCACGAGTTTGAGTAAAGCTCCCTGCCAACCAGGCAATCCTAGCCCATCCTGACACATTGACTGGAATAATTAAGTATTAAGACGTTAAATCAATAATATATTGGAGGAAAAAATTAAAATATTGTGAATGTGTTAGCAATAAAATATTTAATTTTTTTTAAAGCAAATAAATTACATACTTATTTATGATTGAGTCAAATTGGAAATTCTATTCGGCAAAATGAAAATTTTCCTCTTAAAAAAAAAAGAAAAAAAAAGCTCACAGCATCCCTATTAATAACAATATTGCTAGGAATGGAATAATGAAGCTATTAAACTTCAAAAACTTTTTTCAACAAGCTTTAAGCATTGCAATTTACATTTTAAAGCATATTATTGTCATATTGAGAGAGAAAAAAAGAATTATTATTTAATTATCAATTTAACTTAACTTATTATTTAACTTTAACTACAAATATAGTTTGTCTACGATAAGAACTCCCCCCGCCACAAAGTCTGAGGCCGTCTGTTTCTATGACAACAAGAATAGCTCATTTCAGGGAGGGTAGCTTCTCTTCACTCTATGGCTAACACGATAGACAGAAGAAAAAGATTCCCTTTCTTTTGCCGACCCGAGCCAAAACCTGTCCTGAATAATGACCCCTCACCCTTACTTAAAATAGTTATACCTCGTTACCATAATCACCATCACTGGTCCAGACGAATGGATTGGGGAGTTCTTACTTTAGACAAACTATACTCATAAATCAATATGAATAATTGAAGACAAAAGCAAATTTAACTTAAAAGAAAGAACAAAAGATTTGACAGAAAATATTTCGCAATAAATGTTAAGAAAATGACTATTGCGTTAAAAAAGAAATTCTTCCTTACAGAACCTAAACACTCTAATCAAATCCCTTTATACTCGCAGAAAATGTACAAGAACAGAGGACAAAGGATTCCTGAAATATTTCTCCCAACTTTGTTAGTCCTCCTGTCCGTCCTCCCATCCCCTTCTACATAGTCAAGCAAGATAATCAAGAGAATAAATCAAACAAGTAATGAGTCAGACAGGTAACGAACGAGTCAAACAGGATGTTCAACCAATCTGGGGATTTTTCTTCGCCAGTAGAGGATAGAATTGCCAAATAATAGCGGATCTGTAGCGCTATTAAAATATTTTGCAAGAGAGTAAGGACAAGGCAAGGGCACGTTCCAATATTCGCACCAGTGTCACCGGTTACACTGGTTTGCCGCACCGACCGTTCCAATATTAAAACTGGTGTAACCAGGAGCTCAAACCTCGCAGACTTCGAACGAGCTAGGAAGAGAAAAATGACGTCATTTTGACGTCACGTTTCTACTCCTAGGGAAAACCTGAAACCTCGCGCTTTCGAACGGATTTTGCTAACGGGCTGCGATCTTCATTTTTCCTCCCATCTATCGGAAAGCTTTCACCTAACAATTTGCTGGTGAAAGCGATTCGAACGTTCGAATAGGATGCGTTTAACGCTGGGATTAAATTAGATTTCCGATTTCAAAGATAATTTTTACCCAGATATTTTATGATTTTTTATAATCATTTACCTAGATATTTTATGAATATATTTCAGACATAATTTTTTCTCTCACAAATTTATTATTTCATATAATAAATGGATTAAATAATTAGTTTCGGTTTCTAGCAGAACTTATAATAAAATCTATAATAATCTTGCACGACTTTAAATAAAACGTGAACATTTTTTCTGTTCCAAATTTTTGTGTATTCTTAGCCATAATATGTTTAGTATAATTATTGCCATGTTTTTATTAACTTTTATTTTAATTACCTCGTAATATTTTCAAAATATCTGCAGAAAAAAAATGGAATTTTTTTCTTTAAAAAATTGGTGAGTTATGACTGAGATTAGTG